CCACTTCTCTGAGGTCCTGCCCCCGTGTTCCAGCCCTACCTCCAGGCCTACGCCCCTTTCCTCTCAGAGGTCCTCTCATCTTCCTCATCTCACAGTGCCTCCCACTACCCCACTCCACACACATTCCACCAGAGCTTCCCACCTTTGAGACACCCCCCGCACCCCACACCGAGTTTTGCTCCCGGCACCATACTCCTCCATCCCGGCTCCCCCCTTTCCTCCTGACCGTGGGCACTAATGGCGCTGCAGCCTCCCGGGCGGCAGCTCAGCAGCAGGAGGCAGAGGAGCACCCGGAGACCCCCGGACCCCCCGGGACCCCCAAGCCGCCGCGGGCGCCGCATCCCTCCGGGCTCCGCGCGCTTGCTCCCCAGCCTGAGCCGCTGCGACGCTGGCCCGAGCCCGCAGAAGGGTCCAAGGCGGGGCCTGCCACTCCCCACCCACCTACGAGGCGGGGTCTACACGCCCCTCTCACTGCTACTTGGCCAACCCAGGGCGAGTGGTGACGACATCTCCACCCCCGGCTCTTACGCTCATTTGCGTCATACGTGGCGTAAGAGCACTGTCTTAGCAGGGGACCCACCCACCACATCCTTCCTCCACCAAATAAGTGCCTCATTAGAATTCCCACTTGGTCTTACTCCTTATGACATATGCTTCTTTTTCGTACTTAAAAGTAAATAATAGACATATTTCCCTTATAAATAGTTCAATATGCATCTCCAAGAAATAAAGGTATTTTCTCACATAATCAGAATGCTATTATGATATCCAAGAAAATTTATAATAATGCCCAAATATTATTTGATGCTCAGTTCACATTCAAATGTCTCTGTTTTTGTTTTTTTTTGTAATGCCCTTTTCAGCTGTTTTGTTCAAAATAGGCATCATAGACCACCATTTTGTTTTGTCATGTTTCTTAATTATGTTTAAATTAGCATTAACAGGGTTTCTCCCACCCCCAATGCCCAATTTTCGATATTTTCTTGTTGAAGAGACAAGGTTAGCTTTTCTTCTGGATTAGTCTGGTTATTTCCTCATGATAAATTTCCCCTGTATATATCCTGTATTTCCCATAAACTGGAAGTTACGTCTAAAGTTTTGGTTCAGGTTTAAATTTTTTTTAAAGCAAAATGTTTTTAGGTGATACTGTATGCTTACAATAGAATCATTTGCAGAGAAGAGGAGAAGTGACATAGCCCTATTTCTTTTTCTTTTTAAAAATGACTAGAAAATTTAAAATTACATACATAATTATATATTTCTATTGGACAACCACTGACTTCGAAAATTCTTTCTTTTCCATTGTTATCAGGACAGGCAGCTGGAAGAAGTTTGCACTCAGGTGGCAGCAGAGAAAATAATATACCCACAAACTGTCTTACTTCAGCTGTAAGGGAGAGGTTATAGATAATCTTAATTTAATGTATCAAATGTACCATATATATTTTTTATCCTCACTTGAGGACATTTTTCCATTTTTTGTTCAGAAAGAATGGGAGAGGGAAGGAGAGAGAGAGAGAGAGAGAGAGAGAGAGAGAGAGAGAGAGATGAAAGGGACACATTGAGTGGCTGCCTGCAGCGCGACCCAACCAGGAGGGCCAGGGACAAACTGCAACCGAGGTACGTGCCCTGATGGGAACCGACCAGGGCTATTTTTAGCACTTTTGTTTCCTCTTTAAGAAATCTTTTCCAACCACTAGGCCATGAAGTTATTGTCTTATACTATCTTCTAAATGCTTAATCCACAGAATTTTTCAGAGTAGGAGTTCAGAGAAGTGAAATAAAACTAATGGCTTAAAGCTATGGGATAAACTTCATTGTTTAATTCCTCACATTGGCTTATAATCCACCTGGATTCTATTTATGTGTGTTTTAAGTTATGGAAAAAAGTTCATTTTTCTTCTACAAGGGTACCCATTGGTTCCTGAACTATTTCTTGAAAAGATCACCCTCTTTCCTTCCATCTTTATTATAAATAGGGTGTCCATGTTGTATGTCCTATCTCTGGGCCCTTTGTTTCTTAGATCTACCTGTCTATACCATACTTTTTAAATTACATCTTCATACTAAGTCTTGATATCAGGTAGAGCAAGCGATCCCATCTTCTTTTCAAAGTCATTTGTCTTCTCTTATTCACTTTTCACATTGTTGTGAGGTTCATAGGTTATTATCATTTATTAAATTATAACATATCCAGTAAAGTATACAAACTTATGTTTATAGCTATAGAGTGATTATTAGTATATGTATACAACTCTTTTACCCTTGTAGACACCAAATCTTGATACCTGCTCATTTGCTTATACCTGTGAATATCCAGTGAGTGAGACTACTTCAAGAAGTATAAAGCTCACCCTGGCCAGTTTGGCTCAGCACTTAGAGCATCGGCCTGCGGACCAGAGAGTCCTGGGTTCAGTTCCCGCTAAGGGCATGTACCTAGGTTGCAGTTTGTCCCCAGCCCTGGTTGGGGTCATGTGGGTGGCAACCACTCGATGTGTCTCTCTCACATCGATGTTTCTCTCTCTTCCTTTCTCTCCCCTTCCTGCTCTATCTGAAGATAAATGCAAAAACAAACAAACAAACAAACAAAAAAGAAGTATAAAGCTCTGCAAATAGGATATTCCAGTGTTTGGTTAGGCTGAGCATGGGTGGTCAGATTTACCCACTCCCTTTCAATATTTTTAAGCTACTAGGAGCAAACTGGCAAGAGCCATCAAAATAGTTAATGTGTGTACACTTTGTAGCACTTCTCTGTTGATTCTTGGGAGCTGTATCCATTCTTGGCAGTGGTGGTAATGCTAGAGGTAAAGACTCTTATAAAACAGCAGGGTGTAGGCCTGTCTGACATGAAAGGTGGGCAACTAGATCACACAGTGTATCTGGGTGTGGGTGAAGAAGGCTGACATCCCTGCTGTAGTCCCACCCTCACTTTCCCTACTTCAGGAATGGTCACTGGGAGGAAAACAAGACAGAGACCAGTCTCCACCAGCACCAAGGAGCTGTGCTCTCTTCACCCCCACCTCCTTTTCTGGTCCACCTCTCTCACTTCAGACGCTCTGGCCAGGCCCAAACCCCACCCATACTGCCTCAAGACTAGTCACAGAAAGAATTTGCATGGAAGTCCACTTTAATGATCCAGATTTCGTCTTCCTAAACTGCCCCCTTGGAGGACAATGGGACAGGGATGTTTCACACAAGATCTCAATCAGCAATAAGGTTGTGGCCCACAGTGGGGGTAGGGGTGGGGGTGGGGGGGACAGTGGCTCAAAGAAACCCTAAAACAAGAAAAAAACAAAGAATTGAAATCAGTATGTGGGGAGGTGGCCCCTCCCTCATCTATTCTCTTTCCCCAAATGCTTCAATGACAGTCTGATTTGAGTAAACCCAGTGACTCAGCCCACCAACTGCCTGTCCCCATGGTTCCCACATACAGTTCACCCTTGCTCCTGTGATGTTTCCCCTGGACTCAGGGTTGAAGAATGACAGCACCTTGTTTGCATTTGCAGAAGCACCATGGTAACTAGTCCCTCACAGATGGGTCTGTCACTTAGCTCTGAGGGCATTGACTCAGCAACCAATTCAGGCTTAGGAAGCCCAACTGCCACCTTACAGGAGTGGGAACAAAGGGAACCAGTTTCCCAGGGGAGCATGAGGGGCGAGAAGGAGGTGCAGGCTGCCTCTGGATGGAGTGATGGCTAGTTCCACTACCATTATCAGTCAGGCCACATCAGTCTCCCCTGGACCAGAATGATGGGCTCCTTACAGGCCTCTCAGTTTTTACCCTTGCTCTTCACAATCCATTCCCCAACATGACTAGAGTGGTCTTTTAAAATTGTATACCACATATGAAATCCCCTTTCTTAAAATTTCCTAGTTAACTTGCCACTACACTTAAAATAAAATTCTAGTTTTTTACCATGGGACCCTGTATGTAGTCCTGGGCCTACTTCTCCAACCTAATATTCTACTCCTGACCTTTTCATCTGTTATTCTAACATGCCAAAGTATCCTTGTCTCAGAACACTAGCCATTGTAGTCAGTACTCTCTGCCTGGGAGGCCTTTCTTTTAATCTTCCTCTGGCTGCCACCTTCTTGTAATTTAGGCCTTAGTTCCCCCAAAAAGACTTTTGTCAATATGAAGGAGACTGATGTTTGGAACAGCCCAACCCCCACTGTGGTCCCACAGAGGAAAGGCAGGGGCTGCAGGGGAAAGAGCTGAGTCCAATCTTGGTTCTGCCATGAACCTGCTATGCAGCTTTGAGTAAGTGCCTTGACCAGCTTGGGTCCCAGTGTCTCATCTAGAAAGACAAGAAAGTGCTAGATGGGTGTTTCCAACCTGGATTCTGAAGAGTTCAAGCATCTCAAGGAAATAAGTCTGAACTTTACCAGGTGACTAGCCCAGGCCACAGAGTACAAGAAAATGGAGTGTGTGTGTGTGTGTGTGTGTGTGTGTGTGTGTGTGTGTGTGTGTGTTCTGAATGTGGAGGCCTCTGGGCTACCATTCCCATTTATCCAAAGGAACTTTGCTGTCCCTTACTATAAACAGGGAGTGTATGGAGAAAAGGAGGACATTTTACTTAATTTTGAAAACTGCAGTTTTTCTTTTCTTTTTAAAAACATGTCTTTATTAATTTCAGAGAGAGGAAGGGAGAGGGAGAGGATAGAAACATCTATCAGCTGCCTCCTGCACTCCCCTTACTGGAAAATCCAGCCTACACACAGGTATGTGCCCTGACTGGGAATCAAACCAGTGACCTCTTGGTATATGGGATGACACTCAACCAACTGAGCCACACCAGCTGGGTGAAAACACTGCAGTTTTCAATGCCTATACATGATCCTATAGATCATTTCATCCTTAGAGGCTCCCAGCATCTGCCCTCCCAATCTGTCACAGTATCTTATGGATACCATAGGTGGTTTATAAGAGAGAAGAAAGGAAAGTGGGGGTACTCTTCAATTGGGAAAAAGATCTTTTATTTGGATTATCCATTCATGCTTCAATACCCATTCTCTTCTTCATTTAAACAGGTCCTTGGGGACTCCAATCTCCCTAGAAAAAGTGAGCCCCTCATCTTGACAGGGTTGGTTACCTGTTGTTTCAGGAACCTCGAAACCACTTTGGAGGTAAAGCACCAATCCCTGTTCACCTTGACCATTGGGCTCTGTGCGGAGGGAAGCCGGGAGTCAAGAAGAAGGCAGAAAAAGGTGTCAGGGCCCCAGAGGGAAAAAGATAGGACACAAAATCAAAGATTTAAAATTCTTGAGAAGACACGTGAGTCCCATCTTGGGGAGTAGGAGCTGAAGTTTCTCCTCTTACTTGCCCCTAGAAGAGTCAGGGGATACAAATGGAACCAGGGCTTGCTAACACTCACCTGGTCTCCCTTTGCAAATATCACTAATGGCTCATGGAGTTGTTTCTTGAAGACCCCACACAGGACCTCCAAATCATTCTTGATGTGCTCTTGGCACCTCATACCTACAGGGTTTTTTTTAAAAAATCCTCACTGGAGGATATTTTTCTATTGATTTTTTTTTTTTTTTTTTTTTTTAGATAGCATGGGAATGAGGGAAAGAAAGAGGAAGAGAGAAAGAGAGAGAGGGGGGAGAGAGAGAGAGAGAGAGAGAGAGAGAGAGAGAGAGAGAGAGAAACATTTATGTGAGAGAGACACATCGATTGGTTGCCTCCTACCCTCCTACGTGACTCCAATCAGGGCTGGGGACTGCATCCCAGATACATGCCCTTGACTGGGAAATGAACCTGTGACTCTTTGGTCTGGGTACTGATGCTCCAACTACTGAGCCAAACTGGCCAGGGCTTATCTGCAGTTTTTTTATTTTTTTGTTTTTAATTTTTTTTCTTTTCTTTTTTATCTTTATTGTTGAATGTATTACAGATGTTCCTCATTTTTCCCCCCATTGACCCCCTCCTCCCCACTCCTGCCCCCCTCCTGCCTTTTCCCACACTGTTGTCTGTGTCCATTGGTTATGCATGTAAATTCTTTGGTTTATTTCTTCCCACCCCCCAACCCCCTTCTCGTTGAGGTTTGTCAGTCTAGCAACCAATTTGTTCTTCTTAATCTCTTCACCTTTTTCACCCATTCCCTCAACCCCCCTCCCATCTGGCAACCAACAAAATGTTCTCTGTATCTCTGAGGATGTTTCTGTTCTCTCTTTGTCTTGAACCTTTTGCATTTTGATGATGATGTGTCTTGGTGTGGGCCTCTTGGGTTTCATCTTGTTTGGGGCTCTCTGTGCCTCCTGGACTTGTATGGCTATTTCCTTCACCAAGTTAGGGAAGTTTTCTGCCATTTTGTTTGTAGATTCCATTTTCAATAGATATGTATTCATTGCCATTTTGTTTGTTCATATATTTTATCTTTTTCTTCAAAAAGATCCTTCAACATTTCATATAATAATGGTTTGGTGGTGATGAACTCCTTTAAATTTTTCTTGTCTTGGAAACTCTTTATATGGCCATCGATTCTAAATGACAGCTTTGTAGGATAGAATAATCTTGGTTGTAGATTCTTGCTTTTCATCACTCTGAATATTTCTTGCCACTCTCTTCTGGCCTGCAAAGTTTCTTTTGAGAAATCAGCTGACAGCCTAATGGGAACTCCCTTGTAGGTAACTAACTGCTTTTCTCTTGTTGCTGTTAAGATTCTCTCTTTGTCTTGAACCTTTTGCATTTTGATGATGATGTGTCTTGGTGTGGGCCTCTTGGGGTTCATCTTGTTTGGGACTCTCTGTGCTTCCTGGACTTGTATGTCTGTTTCCTTCACCAAGTTAGGAAAGTTTTCTGCCATGATTGTTTCAAACTGGTTTTCGATTTCTTGTTCTCGCTCTTCTCCTTCTGGCACCCCCAAGATGCGAATGTTGGCATGCTTGAAGTTGTCCCAGAGGGTCCTTACACTATCCTCATTTTTTTGGATTCTTTTTTCTTTTTGCTGTTCTTATTGGGTGTTTTTTGCTTCCTTATATTCCAAATCGATGGTTTGCTTCTTGGCTTTATCTACTCTACTATTGAAGCTGTGTAAATTATTCTTTATTTCAGTTAGTGCTTCCTTCATTTCTGACTGTGCATCCTTCATTTATGACTGGTCCTTTTTTATGTTCTTGAGGCCCTCACTAAGTTTGCTGAGGTTCTCACTAAGTTCATTGAGCATCCTCATAAGCAGTATTTTGAACTCAGCATGTGTTAAGTTGCTTATCTCCATTTCGCTTAGTTCTTTTCCTGGAGATATTTTTTGTTCTTTCTTTTGGGACCTGTTTCTTTGTCTCTTCATTATGGCTGCCTCCCTGTGTTTGTTTCTATGTATTACTTAACAAGAGGTATGGGGCTAGCTGAGACCAGATGCTGCTTGTTTGAAAGAATTTAGGAAAACCTGAAGCAGGATCCAAGACAGGCCAATTCTATGGTAAAGCAACTGGCAACAGCTTGGGTGGGCCTGAAAGTTGGGTGGGGTGGGGTCTAGGGAATCACCAGGGCAGGGCAACCAGTGTGAGCCAGGTTGCTGGAGTCCCAGATATGGTGGTGGTCTGCTGCCCCAGGGAAGGGCTCACCAAAGGAACAAAGGCCTCTGACAGCATGTTTGTCCCAGAGAAAATCCCCTCTCCAGCCCTCGCTCCAGTGCCAAATAGCTGAGTTCTTCCCTGTATGTCTTTGGCGCCCCTCGAGCTGCCTCCCTTCCAATCTTAGAGGGAGTGAGTCCGATAAGTCTGTGCAGGGGCCCCTTTTTAAAAATAAATTAATTTATGTCTTTTTGTTACAGATGTTTCTCCTTTTCCCCCCACTGATCCCCCTTCCCTCTCCCCCCCTGCCCTGTCCCCAGCTTTGTTGTCCATGTCCATTGTTCATGCATACATGCATATAAGTTCTGTGGTTTATCTCCCCCCCCCTCTTCTGGGGATTGTCAGCCTGTACCCCACTTCCACGTCTCTGGGACTACCCCATTCCTCAGACTGTTATGTTCATTATATTCCACAAATAAGTGAGATCATATGATACTTGTCTTTCTTTGTTTGGCTTGTTTCGCTTAGGATAATACTTTCCAGGTCCCTCCATGTAGTCTCAAAGGATAAGAGATCTTTCTTTCTTACAGCTGCGTAGTACTCCATTGTGTATATGTACCACAGCTTTTTTATCCATTAGTCTACTGATGGACACTTGGGCTGTTTCCAGATCTTAGCTATTGTAAATAGTGCTGCTACAAACATGGGGGTACATATATTCTTTCTGATTGGTGTGCACGGGCCCTTTAACAGGAGCTGCCTGGGGCTTTAGCTGCCTCAGCCTCCCTGAGCCTCAGTTCCCACTGGTTTTCCAGCCAGAAGTGATGGGGACTTCTCTTCCTGGCACTGGAACCCTGAGAGGGGTGCCTGGTGTGGGATGCGGACCCCTCAGTCCTCAGAGAGGACCTTCCCAGCCAAGGTATCCTCCTGATTTTCATCCACCACACATGGGTGTGGGACCAGCCCGTCTGCCTCCGCCCCTCCTACCAGTCTCCATGTGGCTGCTGTTTTAATTCTGTAGTTGTAGGACTTCCATTCAGCTTGATTTCAGGCGGTTTTGAATGATGGTTGTTTTGTAGTTTAGTTGTAACTTTGATGTGGTTGTGGGAGGACGTGATACTGCGTTTACCTACCCACCATATTGACCGGAAGTTTGCAGTTTTTTAAAAATATTGATTTTTTAGAGTCCCAGCTGGCCAGTGTGGCTCAGTGGTATAACGTTGACCCATGCACCAAGATGTCACTGATTCAATTCCCAGTCGGTGCACATGCCCAGGTTGTGGGTCAAATCCCCTGTGGGGGGCATGCAGGAGGCAGCTAATGGATGTTCTCTCTCATCGATTTTCTATCTCTTTTCCTCTTTCTTCCTTTCTCTCTAAAAATCAATAAATAACAAAAATGTGAAAAAAATTGATTTTTAGAGAGAGAGGGAGATAGAAACATCAATGTAAGAAACATCTTTGGCTGCCTCCAGCATGCCCCTACTGGGGATCAAGCCTGCAACTCAGGCATGTGCCATCAATGAGAGACAGATACATCTATCGATTGGCTGCTTCATGCACACCCCCCACTAGGGACTGAGCCCGAAACCCAGGCATGTGCCATGACTGAGAATCGAACCAAGACCTCTCAGTCCATGGGACAATGCTCAATCCACTGAGCCACACCAGCTGGACCCATCCTCCTTTCAAGTGCTCCTTTCCATTTTCCCTTCCCCCATCACCACCTGCCCTGTTCTTCAGCCCCTGTACCTCATTTACCTTTGATACCAACTTCCAGGTAAGAACCAAGTTTACAGGCAAAGAGTAGCCTGTGGAGGTTAGGGTAAACAAAGACTCAGATAGCTACACACATGGAATGCATAACCAGGTGAACAGGTGGTTATGGGAAGCAGGTGAACTGCCTCTCGGGGAAGGATTTGAAGCCTGAAGGGGATTAGAGAGAGGGCCTGGAATCCTTATAGGAGAATGTATTGGTATGTATAGGGTTTGAGTGTCTGGATCCTTGTCCTGAAGGCCACAGTTAACCCAAGTGTGAATAGGGAAAGGACACGTGATAGGGTTGGCAGACAGTTCGTTTTTTTCTGTAGTGTAATTACCATGGATCATTACTCAAAGGCCTTAAGAAAAGAGAATTCTCACCCTGGCCAGTTTTGCTCAGCGGTTAGAGCGTCGGCCTGTGGTCCAGGGCGACCAGGGTTCGGTCCCCACTAAGGGCATGTACCTCGGTTGCAGTTTGTCCCCGGCCCTGGTTGGGTCGTGTGGGTGGCAGCCACTCGATGTGTCTCTCCCACATCAATGTTCCCCGCTCTGTCTGAACCAAAAATGGAAAAATGTCCTCGGGTGAGAATAAAAAAATAAAAAAAAGAAAGAAAAGGGAATTCTCCTCCCCAATCAAATGGATCCTAATATAAATTTCCTGGCTTTATGAAGGAGCCAAAATTCTAGCACCCTACTGAAAAGGAAACGGATTCCTGGAAGAGAAGATCACTCTCTGAGACAGCGCTCCCAGGATTGATAGGAAAGAGGGGACTGGAACTACCTGGCTCAGACCCACAGGACGCCAGGCGCTGTCCGTGGTGCTGAGAGGTGGCTGAAGCCTGGCGTGGAGGCGGCTCGGAGAGGTAAAGAGGGCAAGGTATTCCCACAAGGTTAACCGTCCTCCACCCCGACTCCTACCCCTCTACCCCGCTCTCCCCCTCCTGTCATCCGCCACTGGGCCTCCTCCCACAGTTCTTCATTAGTCCTCTGCACTGGCCTCTAAACCCCAGAATCAGGAGGGGAGAGTTGGCGTCAGACCAGGAATTTGCCGGGAATACTCGAGTTTGCGTAGTTGGTCGCTAGAGGCTCAGGCAAGAGTCTGCGTTGGTCTGCCCGGCTGGCACAAAGCCGAGGGGGAAGAGAAGGCTGGACCGTTTCCTCTGGCATCCGTTTTTACCCTAGCCTAGCCCTCCCCTTCTTCTTCTTTTTTCTAATCCTCACCCCAGGACATTTTTTCTTTTTTTGTTCAGATAGAGTGGGAGGGAGAGAGAGGAAGAGAGAGAGAGAAACATCGACGTGAAAGGGACACATAGGGTGGCTGCCACCCGCACGACCAACCAGGGCCAGGGACAAACTGCAATTGCGGTATGCGCCCTAGCGGGGTCTCTCTGGACCGCAGGCCAACGCTCTAACCGCTGAACCAAACTGGCCAGGGCAAGCCCTCCCCTTCTTAACAGAAACCGGATAGCAGACACCAGGCTCTGAGGTAGCTCCTCTCGGCCCAAATTTTTTCCGGAACCAGGACCCCAATACCCGCGGCCCCTGCTCCTATACTTAGAGATCCTGATCCTGGTCCCCGGACTTTCCCTCAGTCCTGGGCATCTCTTCCCTGGCCACGCGGCGCGTCTTGCTTCTTCTGGTCGCATAGATCCCTTGGCCCATTTTCCCGTTCTCTTCCCGAACTTCCAGTTTTCCCCTGGGTCCGCTTCTCTTATGTCTAGATCCCATATGCAGAGCCCCCTCCCCAAGGTTGAGCCCCCCCCCCTTTTTTTTACATTTATCTCTTTTCACGTCCCTAAACACTTTTTCCTCCTAAATTCCTAACCTTGAGGCCCCTTGGCCCATTTCTTTCAGGATCGCTCTCTGGTCCTGCCCGCACCCCCAGGTTTCCTTCTGACCGTGGCCACTAATGTCTCTGCAGCCCCTGGGCGACTGTGCAGCAGCAGGAAGTAGAGGAGCAGATGGAGCCCTCCAGAGCCTCCAGGCCACAGCAGGCACCTCATCCTCCCAGGCTCGGCGCGCTTATTCCCCACCTAAGTCTCAGAGAAGGAGGAGACCGCAGCAGAGTGGCTAAGCAGGACAGTTGCTTCCCAACCGCTTGAGAGGCTGATCTGCACATCCCTCTCTTGGCAGCTCGACCAATCATGGGCGGGCCCTGCCCCTGCAGCCGCCTACCCTACTACTTCTTCCGTTTAAGGTCCCCTTCCCCGGGCACCCGCTCCATTTTTATGTAAACCAGGTCCCAAGGACTGCCGCCTCTACTCCCCTCCCAAGGTTGGAGAAATGGATTGTAGGTAAGATGTGGGTGCGTATTTTACCTTATAAATTTGTTGTGAGGATTAAATATGAACAAAGACTGGACAGTAGACACTTGGTGTATTTAGTCTATTTTTATTATCCTTGATGCTCACTTTACCCTCATCCTCCTAAAGATCTTCAGCATATGTGGATTTCACCTGCAAAATATACTGCACATCTATCCACTTCTCTCCACATCACTGCCATCACCCTGGTTCAAACCACTGTACTCTTTTTAATAGAATTATTGCAACAAATAACTAGCTAATAAACTAGTCTTTTGTTCCCACTCTTGTTTAGTTATAGGTTAGTTTGTGAGCTTTCTAAACTGTAGAGTGGCATTTTAATATTTTATTTATTAAGCTTAAAAAGTTTATTATAAAAAATATTAATTAAAAAAGAAGAAGAATCTGCCTGGCTGGTGTGGCTCATTGGTTGAGCGTCAACCCATGCATCAAGAAGTCCCTGGTTCACCCTGGCCATTTTGGCTCAGCGGTTAGAGCATTGCCCTGTGGTCCAGGGAGCCCCGGGTTTGGTTACCGCTAGGGGCACGAACCTCGGTTGCAGTTTGTCCCCGGCCGTGGTTTGTCTTGCTGGTGGCAGCCACTCGATGTGTCCCTTTCATGTCAATGTTTCTCTCTCTCTCTCCCCCTCCTACTCTACCTGAACAAAAAATGGAAAATGTCCTCCGGTGAGGATAAAAAAAAATGTCCCTGGTTTGCCCTGGCCAGTTTGGCTCAGCGGTTGGATCGCTGGCCCGTGGACCAGGGAGTTTCGGGTTCGGTTCCTGCTGGGGGCAGGTGCCTCGGTGGCGGTTTATCCCTGGCCTCGGTTGGGGTCATATGGGTGGTGGCCAGTCGGTGTGCTCTCTCATGTCTATGTTTCTCTCTCTCTCTCTTCACTCCTCTTCCTGCTCTATCTGGGGGAGAAAAAAAAAGAGGTCACAGGTTCAATTCCTAGTTAGGGCACATGCCCAGGTTATGAGCCTAATCCCCAGTGAGGGGCTTGCAGGAGGCGGCCAATTGATGTTCTCTCTCATTGATGTTTCTATCTCTCTCCCTCTCCTTTCCTCCCTTCCGGTATGCCCAAAATAGTCACAAGGGGTCTTTATAAGAGAGAAGGAGAGAGAGAGAGAGAGAGAGAGAGAGAGAGAGAGAGATGTAGAAAGGTCAGGGTCCGTTGTGGGAGAGCTGACATTGGAAGCAAGAGGTTGGAGTGATGCAAGGAAGAGGCCCCAAGCCAAGGAATGCAAACAGCCTCCAGAAGCTGAAAAAGGTAAAAAAAAAAAAAAAAAAAGGATTCTCCCTATAAAACTCCAGAAGGAACACAGACCTGCTGACATCTTGATTTTAGACTTCCAGAACTGTAAAATAACCAATTTGTATTATTTTAAGCCACTAAGATTGAAGTGATGTATTACAGCAGCAACTGGAGATAACAACAACATCTAAAAACATTTACAGTTCCTTAATTTACATAATTCTGGATAGGACTCCTTATCAGATAAATTGTTTGTGAATATTTCCTCCAACTCTGAGCATTTTATTTTAATTTTCTTAATAGTGTCTTTTGAAGAGCAGACTATTTTAATTTTGAGGAAGTCCAATTTATTAATTTTATCTTTTATGGCTAATGCTTTCTGTGTTCTTAGAAATGCTTGCCTACCCCATACATACAAAGTTTTTTTCCTGTGTTTTCTTCCAAAAGTTTGGTTAGGCTGGCCTCATAAAATCGGACAGAAAGTATTGCCTCTTTTGTTATGCTCTGAAAGAGTTTGTATATGATTGATATTGCTTCTTTAAGTATTTAGGACTGGAGTTTCTTTTTTTTAAATCCTCACCTGAAGATATTTTTCCATTTATTTTCAGCTAGAGTGGGAGGGGGAGAGAGAGAGAAACATTGATGTGAGAGAGACACATGGACTGGTTACCTCCCAAATGACCCCAACCAGGGCTGGGGACCGAACTGCAACCAAGGTATGTGCCCTTGACTGGAATCAAACCCACAACTCTGTGGCCCATGGGCCTACACTCCCACCACTAAGCCAAACCAGCCAGGGCAGGGCTGGAGTTTCTTTGTGAGAAAGTTTTATTACAATTTCAAGTTCTTTAGCTATTCAGATAGTCTATTTTCATTTCTGTTTTGGAAACTTTAATTTTTAAAGAAATTTGTAACATTTAAGCTATCACATTTGTTAGGTAAAAATGTTCTTAATATTGCTTTATTACTCTTTTAATAGCTGTACAATTTAAAGGAATATCACTGTTTAAATTCCTGATTATGGCCTGGCTCAGTGGCTTGGTGTGGCTCAGTGGACTGAGTATTGTTCTATGGGCTGAGAGGTCCCAGTTAGATTCCCAGTCAGGGCATATGCCTGGGTTTTGAGCTCAGTCCCCAGTGAGGGGCATGCATGAGGCAGCCAATTGATGCATCTGCCTCATATTGATTTCTCTCTCTCTTAAAAAAAAAAAAAAATCAATAAATTCTTGATTATGTTAATTTATATTTTTTCTCTTTTTGCCTTTATAAGTTAGCTAGAGAATTATAAATTTTATTGATCTTTTTAAAGAACTGACCTTTGGCCCTGGCCGGTTTGGCTCAGCGGTTAGAGCATCGGCCTGCGGTCCCGAGAGACCTGGGTTCGGTTCCCGCTAAGGGCATGTACCTCGGTTGCAGTTTGTCCCCGGCCCTGGTTGGTCGTGCAGGTGGCAGCCACTCGATGTGTCCCTTTCACATCGATGTTTCTCTCTCTCTTCCTCTCTCCCCCTCCCACTCTACCTGAACAAAAAATAGAAAAATGTCCCCAGGTGAGGATAAAAATAAAATAAAATAAAATAAAGAACTGACCTTTGGTTTTATTGCTTTTCTCTATTGTTTGCCCATTTTATTGATTTCAATTCTTTGTTATTATTTTCTGTGGGTTTTATTTTTCTAGTTTCTTGAGTTGGTGGCTTAGATCACTGATTTAAATATATTCTTCTTTGCAATAAATACACGTAATGCTATATATTTCCTTCAAAGCATTACTTTTTTGGTGTCTTATTTATCAAATGGTCAATTTTCTAATTTTTCTTGTGATTACTTAGGCCCATTAATTAACAGAATGCTGCTATTGGAAATTTTTAAGGTTTTGTTATTTATTTATATTTTAATTTCAGTGTGGTCTAATGTCATGCTTTGTATAACTTCCATTGCTTTGTATAACTTTCATTGATTTTGTTTCATAGCTCAGCATATACTCTGTCTTGGTGAATGTTCCATGAACATGTGAAAAGAATATGTTCTCTGCAATTGTTGGTTTTAGTGTTCTATAAATGTCAAGTAAATCATGTTGATTAATGTTCAATTTTTGTTTTTTTTTATCCTCACCTGAGGACATCCTTGCATTTACCTTCAGATAGAGCAGGAGGGAGAAAAGGAGGAAGAAAGAGAGAGAAACACTGACACGAGACACATCGAGTGGGTGCTACCCACAGGACCCCAACTGGGGCCGGGGACAAACTGCAACCAAGGTACATGTCCCTAGTGGGAACTGAACCTGGGACCCTCTGGTCTGTGAGCTGACATTCCAACCGCTGAGCCAAACTGGACAAGGCAATGTTCAATGTTTTCATATCTGTATTGATCTTTGTCTGCTTTATCTATCCATTATAACCAATGGATTTGGGAATTGTCTATATTTCCTTTGGTTCTCAGTTTTGCTTTCTGCTTTTTGAAATTGTTATTTGATGCATCCATATTTAGGAGTGTTATGCCCTCTTGAAAAATTTAGCCTTTATCATTATGAAATATCCCTCTGTATCTCTAGTAATACTGCTTAATCTTAAGCCTACTTTTTTTGATAGCAAGATGGCCACAACAGCTTTTTGTTGGTTAGCATTTCCATACTATATCTTTTTAAATTATTTTACTTTCAAATAATTTCTGTCATTATATTTCAAGTATATCTCTTGTCAACAAGATACAGTTTGAGTCTGTTTTTTCAAAATCCACACCAGCAATTTCTGCCTCTTAATTGGATTGTTTAGTTATTTGTATTTAATGTAATTATTGGTGTGTTTGAGGTGATTTCTGCCACCCTATTTGTCTTCTATTTGTCTTATCTGTTTTCCTTTGTTTCCCCTTGTCTCCTTTCTTTTGGCATAACCAAGTAATTTTTAGTGTTCAATTTTATTTTATTAATTTATTTACATCCTTTGTATTATTTTTAAGATGTTTTAGAAATTATAGGAAACATCCGTAATTTATCACAACTTCTTTAAATTAATATTATGCCATATCACTTAAAACATAAACCTTATGCCCTGGCTGATTTTGCTCAGTGGTTAGAACATCAGCTCGTGGACCAAAGAGCTGCGGGTTCGATTCTGGTCAAGGGCACATACCTCGGTTGCAGTTTGATCCCTGGCCCTGGTTGGGGTCACACAGGGGTCATGTGGGAGGCAACCAATCGATGTGCCTCTCTTACATTGATGTTTCTCTCTCTCTCTCTCCTCTTCCCTCCCACTCTATCTGAAAATCAATGAAAAAATATCCTCAGATGAGGATTAAAAAAAAACCAAACATAAACCTTAAAATTTATTTACTCCTCCCATTGTGTATTATTGTTATATATGTATTTCTATATAGTTTGTAAATCACAATACCTTTAAAATTTATTTTTGCCTTCATAAGTCAGTAGACTTTTAAAAACATTAAGAAAAAATAGTCTTTTAAATTTACTCATATATTTACCATTTCTGGTGTACGCTCTTTATTCCTTTCTTCAGATTTCAGTTTCTATATGGGATCATTTTCTTTCCATTTGAAGAGCTTCCTTTGGCATTTCTTTTGCAGGTCTGCTGACAATGGCCTCTCAACCTTTTGTTTGTTTAAAGATATCTCCATGTCTCTCTCATTTAAAAAAGATGTTTCTATTATATATAGAATTTTGGGTTTACCTCTTTTTTTGTGGGGGGGGGGGCTTTTAAAGATATTCTATTGTTCTGCTGGCTGGTTTGGCTCAGAGGTTAGAACATCGGCTGTTGGACCACAGAGTCACAGGTTTGATTCCCAGTCAAGGGCATGTACCTTGATTGCAGGTTCAATTCCCAGCCCCAATTGTGTGGGAGGCAACCAATTGAT